GTTTTTATCCGATAAACACTAGAAATAGTTACAATATTTGTATCTAAGAGCTTGTCTACATGGAGCAGTAATGCAGACGCAGTAGTCTGAGCCTGATTTCTAAAGTGTTGTGAATTAATTGGTCTGTGTAGACCTTGCTTGTGCACACTATGGTTCCTCTAGTATATTTGCCGTAGTGCTATTTAAAATAGTACTATGACAAAATGCACCAGGGAATATTATAAAGATATGCTACCGTAATGAATGTGTAAAATAGATCTTGGAGTCATTGTGGATAATTCTCTGAAAATGTCCACTCAATGTGCAGCGGCAGTCAAAAAAGCGAACAGAATGTTGGGCATTAGGAAAGGGATAGATAATAAGAGAAAATATCACATTGCCTCTATATAAATCCATAATACACCCACATATTGAATACTGCGTGCAGATGTAGTCACTCCCACTCAGAAAATATATTGGAATGGGGAAAAGTTCAGAAAAGGGCAACAAAAATGATTAGGGGTATGGACCGCATTCCGTATGAAGAGAGATTAATAAGACTGGGACTTTTCAGCTTGGAGAAAAAATGACTAAGGGGGGATATGATTGAGGTCTATAAAATCATGACTGGTGTGGAGAAAGTAAATAAGGAAGTTTATTTACTCCTCATAACACAAGAACTAGGAGTCACCAAATGAAATTAATAGGCAGCAGGTTTAAAACAAACAAAAGGAAGTATTTCTTCACATAACACACAGTCAACCTGTGGAACTCTGCCAGAGCATGTTGTGAAGGCCAAGACTATAATAGGGTTCAAAAAAGAACTAGATAAATTCATGAAGGATAGATCCATCAATGGCTATTAGCCAGGATGGGTAGGGATGGTGTCCCTATCCTCTGTTTACCAGAAGCTGGGAATGAGTGACAGGGAATGGATCACTTAATGATTACCTGTTCATTCCCTCTGGGGCACCTGGCATTGACCACTGTCAGAAGACAGGATACTGGGCTAGATGAACCTTTGGTCTGACCCAGTATGGCCGTTCTTATGTATTACTCATTACAGTATATACAAAGAAACCCTGAAAAAAAATTTTTTTTTTAAATCAACACAAAAGTCAAAAATTGCTAAAAATACACCCAAAAATTAAATTAACAAACCCCAAGAAACACAAGCCCTATAAATACATCTTCATTAGGATTAGTTATCTATGCATCAAAATCTTTGACAATGATGCAGGTAAACAAGGTGAGCCAAGAGGAGTCCATTGAAACCATTTAAGTTAGCCAAACCCTGCCCAAATGCTGATACCAAAGAACATCTACTTCTACAGCCAATGTCATGACTAGCCTTAAAAGGATGTCTCTCTAGATGGCGAAAAGAGAAATCATATTAGGTAACGATTTGAACACACACACACTCTCTCTCTCTCTCTCCCTCCCTCCTTTACACAGGTCACCTTTAAGATCTTTCAGGACCACCATCTAATACACAAGGATCTCTGAAACCTGCTGCTTTTCTATGGTACAAAATCAGTTGATCCCATCTGTGTGTTTTGCTGGATATTCTGATCAGGCTAGACTATAAACTGCAGCAGAGATCTTGTCTCCTCTCTGTACAGTTCCTAGTACTCTGTTAGCATTATAAAAATAAGCCAGTCAACACCTTTTTCCCTCACTTTATTTCCTATTCTTATAGCTGATAAGAGTAGGCTTCAGCATGAAGCTTTCATTCCCCTCTGTTGATCTGTAGGTTATTTAACTAATCAGCCCAGTGCTATGTAACTTGCTGCAAAATGAACAGTGAAAATACCCATTATATTCATAGCTACTAAGAGATCATTGTGATCATCTAGTGTGACCTCCTGTATAACACAGGCCATAGGATCTGAATCTACTCCTATTGGAAGTAGAGCATATCTTTTTGAACTCAAGATTGGATGTGTCTAAATTTCCAGTGATGGAGAATCCACCATAGCCCTTGATAAGTTGTTCCAGTGGTTAATATAACCTTACCATTACATTTACACCTTATTTCTAATCTAAATCTGTCAAGCATGACCTTCCGGTTATACCTTGGTCTGCTAGATTGAAAAATTTCTATTACCAAATATCTGTCCCCACGTATGCAGTAGAGTTGTAGCCATGTTAGTCTCAGGATATTAGAGAGACCTGAACAAGAGCTCTGTGTAGCTTGAAAGCTTGTCTCTCTCACCAAAAGAAATTGGTCTAATAAAAGATATTACC